ACATGTCTGAGAGAAGAACTCGGCATCCGGGTAGACGTCGTCGCGGCGAAGCCCACGGCCGACGCTCTCATCGAAGGCATAGCAACTTGGCACGAAGAAACCGATTTCTAGCTCAACACCGCCCAGCACTTCCACATATTTCACCACGCCGTTTGTCCACTTCGAAGTCTCGACTACATCCTCGTCGCTCTTCTCAGGCTCCCTTTGCTTTATCGCGAGTTCGTGCCCCGCCCACCGCATCCACGCGCCCAGCCGTAGCATATGCCCAGCTGACAGGGATAGCGTCGAAGCCGGCGATGAGGGCTATATTGAACGTCACGTTGAGCTGCTTCAAGCGCCATTAATGCTGACGGCGGCTTCACAGGTTGCTCCCTTGCCCTCATCTCGACGCGCGTCCGAGACATTGCGCGCCCTGGCAACTTCCGGTTCCACTCTGTCCAGCTCAACGCGAACCACGCGTACACCATCTCTTCCTCACGTCCGGCCGACGCAGCAAGAAAGACGTCCATGCCGGCTTCGACGCACAGCCGTCCAAAAGCCGTCAACAATCAAGCGCAAGCGTGCCGAGGAGCAAGCCTTCCGCGCCCAGGCCCTCGAGCTCTTCGCGCTCGTCGCCAAGGATCTCTACACCCTCACCTGTGTCAAGGCCGCGGGTTATTGGTGGTACCATCTCCCGATTCCGTCCGAGATCGGGGTGATCGACTTCCCGCTCTTGCGAGAGCTCTCCTGCGTCAACATCTCGGACTACATATCTCAAATTCGCTCCTTTTCCCCGGTGTCATGACGATGGCGAGGACGTTGATGTTTCGTTGCGCCCCCTGCTTCCGCAGCTGCGCAGGGCGCGTGTCGTGGGCGACGTCAACTCTCAAAACCTCCTCGCGTGGGCGACGCGCGCCCCGGGCCTCAGTCATGTCCGATTAGACTGCGTCCCGCTCGGGTTGCGCAGTAGGGCGATTATCGAACCTGCGAGGACGATTACGAGTAGGCCCACATGCTCCCTCTACGCGCGCTCTGTCTGCTCACGCTATCATTACCCACAGCGGCCGGTGACGGTCCAGGTTCAAAGAGCGCGCCCGTGCTCACCCGGCTCAAGATGCTCCTACTGCAGGGGTGTCCCCCGAAAACCGGGCGGAAGAGATGCGAAACGAACAGGTTCGTGTACCGAAGCTTCACCTCGGAGCTCTGGAACGTGAGGAGCAACGCCACGGGCCCGGCGGGATGTCGGGTTGGACTCCCATCGCCGAAGGTGTATAAATGGGACGGCCACGTCCACCCGGAGGACGAGCCGCTGAGGCACTGGCTGGAGCGGATCGAAGGGGGCGTGGGATGTTGGGCGGTGAAGCAGTCGTGGATGAAGGCAGAGCTGACGTTGAATGATGATGTGGATACGAGCGAGTCGCAGAGGTGGTCGAAGGATGGATTAGATCTTGAGACGGACTCGGAAGAAAGCGAGGATAGCGGAGCAGCTTGATGACATCGTCGACTGTATGCCGGGCACAAAGTAGGCGCTCCTTCGCGAACATGGCATGCCTCAAGCAGCCGCCGCGCGCAAATATTGTTACGCTGCCCCGACGATGACCTTCGTGACGTCCATCCTCCGCTTCAATGCCGGCTGCCATTGCATTACATTACAATCACGCGTAAAGCAAAGCAGTCGTCGATCAATGGAGGGCTGACTGAGGGCAGAGAAAGGAGGCAGACTGTAGCCTTCGCAGGGTGAACGTACAAACAAGAACGACAACGGACCAACGGCCTCATGGACGTCCGATGCACTCATCATGCGCGTACGGTTGATACGTGAGAAATGATCGTGAAGATTGTTGTGGGGGTAAAGAACATAAATACGCATAGGCGGAAGTCGAAAAATGAATGCACATGGTACAAGTGAGGAGAGAAAACACACATGGGGACTTCAATGAGCCTCTCCACCGTCAACCTGGTGCCAATCCTCTACCGGGCCCCTCCCAGCGCACGAGAGATGCGGGTTTCTGAGGTGTCGCGCAAGCGCATCCTTCCGCGAGAACGTCCTCCCGCACCCGCCCACCATTTCCTTCCCGCACTCCCTCGCCACCCACACGTCCTCTATCTGCACCGGCGTCCGCGTGTGCTTCGTATCGTTCGCGTGGCGCAGAGGGACCCCGCGGCACGTCCACAGTGTTTCGGGTTGCCCGTGGGTGGCGACGTGCCGCTTGTAGTCCGGGGTGCGACGGGAGTGCTGGATGAATGGGCAGTGCGGGCACTTCCATGGGTTCTTCGACGTCTCTCCGGACTCTGAGGAGGCGGGAGACCGTGCAGCTGGGCGGTTGCGGCGTCGGATGAGGACAGTGGACGGGGTTGTGGGGAATGCGGGCTCCTCGTGGTAGGCACGAGGCGGTGGGACGATATGGGTAGCCGTGGGCGACGGCGACGCCTCGGAGGATGACGATGGAAGGTCGTAGCCCGTCGAACCTTGGCTGCTTGCGGGGGATGAGGCGAAGGAGGAGCCGTCGTCGTACGGAGAGCCGGGAAATGCGACGTTGAAGGAGAACGGGTCGTAGAGCGTACCCGACAGGTCGTCCACCGCCAACTGGTCCGAGTAGCTCAAGAACAAGAGGGCTTCATAGTGGAATTTCTTCAGAGATGCGTCGTCGATGCCGTGTGCGGGTTGCGTTGGGCCTTCAATTGCAAGGGCCGGGGGGATGTAGAGCAGAGGCTGGTCGCCGCCTAGCGCGCGGTCCAACGCTGAGTACGACGATCGGAACCGCTCTTCCACAGGGGTACAGATTGTAGAGGCATATTTGATGTGGGTGGGCGACGGGCGACGGGGGATGGGGAAGGGGCGGGAGTCTGCGGGGGGAGCGGTGGTGGAGGTCGAGAGCAACGACGGATAACCCGCGAGACTAACGATCGGTGTTAATCGCTTATGTAACACTAACAACCCGAGCAGTTACGCACTAGCGGGGCTGCAGATCGGCCGCGGATGGCTCGTCGATGTCGCGGGGAGGCTTATAAGTATCATTTTGGATGCTGCACTCGTCTTCTGTGCTCAGAATGTCCGGAGAGTGGCAGGAGAGGTTGGTGTATGCGTCAAAGAGGTGCTGGGTGGGATCCATGGCGATTTGGGCGGGAAAAACGCTGGGGACGTCGGATTTTCGCGGGGGAAGCGGTGGGACGAGAGAGAGATGGGTGTGTGGCACATCCTGGCGCACAGCGGAGACTCATGGCGGCGACGGGAAGGGCGTGGTCGAGGGGTCGAGAGGGGAGGGGTCGAGAGGTGAATAAGTGCAAGATGATCTGCCCACGGCGGCTGGATCTGCATCGACGGCGTGAAGGGTGGCGGTGTTCACGCGTGGCCTCCGCACGTGCGGCCCACGCGAGCGGCCCGCTGCCGTTGTCGACGACGCCCCTTCATCGCCGAGCGTGCTTCGCTGCTGCTGCGCGGTTCTCTTGGGCCGTACAAGGTGCTCTACCTACAGTCTTATGCACTCAGCTTGTCCAAAGCGCTGGAGGGGCGATGCGGGTGCCCGAAAACTCGGAAATGATTGAAAACCCGGAAATTCCCCCAGCGGTGACGAGCGCGTTTTTTGTCCCCCTCGCTAGATCTCCCCGACGGCCATGAAAAGCTGAAAATCACGTCGGGAACGCACTCAGGTACGAGCAGACGCTTTTCCGCGTCCTCAACGGCCGGGCTGACAGAAAGCGGTAGGCTGGTGGTCGTGCACGACAATCTCATCCCCTTATGTCACCAAGGTGACGCTCCGCGAGCGACCCCGAGGCTGAAATCGTGCTAACAAAGCATCTATTGGAACTGTCAAGAAAGTAAAGGGCGTTAGTAGAGGTGCGGGAGCGCACTCGACCCGAAGAAACGACCCCCGCTACAACCGCTCCCCCATGCCCCACCTCGTGCTCAAGTTCGCCGTTTCGTTCGTCCTGGAAAGAAACAGGCAGTACGTCCCCCCGGGAGTCACCGTGGTGCGGCAGCGGGGCGAAGAAGGCTTCGTGACGTCCGTCCTCTTCCCGTTCGGGTCGCTCCAGGAGGACTCGCCGGCCTGGGCATGCGCGGTGTACGGAAGCTGGGAGGTGAAGGCGTGCGGAGCGTGCCGGGCGGTGGCCTATTGCAGCGCAGGTGAGCCGTCGACCATCGATCTCGTTCGCGACCCTCTCTCATGCCCCCTCTCCCTCCCGCTCGCCCGCTCGGACGTTCAGAGTGTCAACGGGCACATTGGGACGTCCACCGTGTGGGACGCGTACCGCCCCCGTGGTGCGGGAGCTGAGTGATCATCCTCACACGCCGCGACGACCAGATACGGACTCGCCAGGAGTACTTGGGCATGCCCACGTACGTCTTTGAACAGTCCGATCCAACGCTGGCACGGCGCCAGCGCCGGAAGACGAAGACGAAGGCTACGTCCCGCGCAACACGTGGGGCCTGAAGCCGTTCGTCGTCAGGATCTTGATCCCGGAAGAGGACGACGAGCTGTGGCGGGCGTTCGTCATGGACCGACGGCGCTCGTTCGGGTTCTGCTTCGCGGACTGGCACGATGAGGCGCTAAGTTTAGATGAGCTGTTGGATGAGATGAAGGGGCCGCGCGGGCAGGAGGGCGCGAGGGCGATGTATCGATGGGCCAAGCGGGCGGGCGATATGTCGTATTCGCTCTCTCTGGACCACGTCCCCGCGAAGGAGCTGCACTGGTGAACGTATGAATGGTGCGATCTATATCTCTTGCATAACCGAAGGGGGTCCATATACACGCAAGCATCTCTGCATCCTTGTTACACTTGTATCCTTCGAATGCCGCTCAGACAATCCGAGCCTCACAGGCGTCGACTGCTGGCTTCTGGTCTCTTCGCTCAGCTGGCGTCCTCGTTCGATGACGTCATATTGCATGGCCACCCAACTCTCATTTCATCGTACAGCCATCGATACACACGTTTATAACGTACAAAAGGAACCCCGCCTTGCGCAACATTGGAACGTCCAGCCGCCCGTGCGAGTCCAGGCCGAGGGGCGCAAGTGATCTTCACCAACCGGACAGCGCCGCCGGAGGCACCCGATCCACGCAGATGTCGTAAGTCCAAGTCCCAGTCCTCTTGGCCCAGCGATACATTCTCATGCCCCCGTATTCGATGCGCGGCCCGATAAGCTCTTGTTCAAGTATGTCCAGAAGCTCCCTAGGGTCGCTGATAGAAAGAACGAGCGAGCGCCTGCTGTCGATCATCTCCATCGTCCTGTAGTACCCGCGAATGCAGCCAGGAGTGTAAGGAACGAGGCACGACGGGTGCCACAGCTTCACCACGAACGGCTTCGCCCTTCGCCGCGCATCCGCGGCGGGGTGCTGGACGAGGTCGACGGTGTTCGTGAGGTGTCCGGAGCGCGAAGGGTCCGAGTGCAGATCCGACGCCTGGACGGTGATCCAGCGCCCCGGCGCGGCACGCGGGATGCAGTCGTCGCGGTGGACGGCCCAGTGCTTGCGTTGGCATTCTGGCGGAGTGGCGACGACGAGGATGGTATCGTGCCGGGATGATGGGGGGATGACGACGCACCTTCGTTGCAGTACACCACCGCGAAACACTGCGAGCACTCCTTCCTAGATCGTGCCCGGCAAGTCGCGCACAGTAGTCGGTTTTGTATCCCCGCGAAGAAGATTTCGTACAAGGGCCCCACAGGCCCCAGCACCGATGCTGCGAAGTTCTCTTTGAGGCGCTTGCGCTCTATCGGGAGATCGGGGGGGACGAGGCTCCTGTTCATCTGGAGCATCTGCAGAAGGAGCTTCACAGTGAGGCGATGTACCATGAACTGATTGGAATTCAGATACGCGACCCCGGGGTTCAACGGTGTCGCGGCGTTCCGCGCGAGCGCCCATGCGACGAACTGCACATCCTCGTCCGGGCAGGCGGCGCCGTAGAGAACCACGAACACGGGCGTACGGTCGTGCAGCTTTCGGATCGACACGACCTGCACGAACCCGATCAGGAGCCAACCTCTCGCGCTGCAGATGTGGGCCGCACGCACCCGAATGTTGATTATGTGTCTCTTCTCCGTACAGCCCACCATCATCCACAGCGAGCCACAGTCGCAGAGCTTCGCGAGTTCGAGGACCGCGATCCGGAGCCCGGCGAACGGATCCGGAATCTGGAAAGCGGCGCCCGAGTACTTGTGCGCACGCTCATAGAGCCCCTTTGCCTCGTCGCAATCTCCGCGCTCGATCACCTGTGCCAGGGAGGTCGGATCCTGAGCGACGGGGGGCGAGGCCTCGGTTTTGGGCATGTAGTGCTGGATGAAGCGGGTCCGACGTGTCGCGGAGTCGGGCTTGGGCCATTCGGGGAGCGCGTTCAGGTCCACGAAGGGTTGGAGGCGCATGCCGTACTGGGCGCTGTCGAGCATGGTGCGGAGGTACTTGGGGAGGGCGCCATGAGGAAGAGAGCTGACGTCGAGACCCATCTCGCGGTGATGCGCACCGCGCGCATCGTACCAAACCACCGCGACGCGAACCAACTCCAACCGCATGCCCACCAGCCCGCGCGACGCACCGACCGCCCCATCACCGACACCACCGAGACATCACCACTAACAAGACCCCGTGCAACACACATCGACGCGCGCACTGACCGACATCGCCGCCGCCACCCGCTGCTCATGCGCGCGAGCCAGACCTCGCCGACAGCCAAGCCCACCACGCTCTCGGACGTGTCACTTGTTCCCTGCGCGTCCGGACGCTTCTCGATCACCTCCCCGCACCCCATGATTCCTTTTCGAACGTTCTGTATTTCCTCAATGTCCCACATTTCCCCGCTCCGCCACTGGGTGGCGCCAGAATACCCTGCCACTGGCGTTCATATCAATGACAACATACACCGCTACTGGCGTTCGGATAAGCTCATATGAGTGGGCGCTCTATACCTGCTACTACCGTCTATATGTACCACATAGCCACACATATGAGTGCCCTCACACCCTGCCACCTATACATATTATAAAAGTGGCTGCTTATATGAGTGCATTAGTGTCTTTCCCTCATATGAACTTTGTAGCGCCTTGCCACTCATATGAGCTCGTCCCCTCATATGAGCGCGCCCCCCTCATATGAGCTCGCCCCCCTCATATGAGCTCGCCCCCCTCATATGAGCTCGCCCCCCTCATATGAGCTCATCGGCGTCTCACCCCTCATATGAGCTTATTAATATCCCACCCTTAATATGAATGCACCAGCATTCCACAGCTCCCATTAGCACATCTGGGAACTGGCATACTCTATTGCATGCATGTGTGTATAGGTGCACCCATGCTGGAGCAATTCTTCAGCTTATCATATCACTGAGACACAGGAACTGCACTCCGAAAGGACAGGAAACTGCACCAGCTGTGCAACCGAAACAGACAGAATGGGTGCCCATTAGTTCCATTTTTATTCACACAATGCGCAAAGAGAGAGCAAGAAACCCATGATAGAAAGTGCAAGGCTCAAGCCGATCTCCGCAATCGGCAATTGACTCCCCCCGGGGGTCACCTCCGGGCCGGTAATTGACTCCCCCCGGGGGTTGATCTCCGAGTTTTTGATCACCTGTGTATCTCCGAGTTTTTGACCACCTGTGTATCTCCAACTTTTTGATTGCCTGTGTATATTGTCAGCCTTCATTACCAGACTGCCTGTATCTATTACCGACTTTTTGGACATCTGTGTGTATTACTGCTTTCATTGCCGAGTTTTTGATTGCTGGTGCCTGTTACCGGTCCTCATTACCAACTTTTTGACTGCCTCAATCCATCACTGAGTCTTTGTTCGCCTCCAGCCTTTGATACCGAGTTTTTTATCACTGATATTGGTAATATTAGATGGTTAGTCTGCCTGTACTAAACACCCTCTCCCTAGGAAGTCACCCTTCACAGCTGCATGTGTTGATGGAAATTGACCAAGCTGTTTTCTGGATCAGGTAGTAGCATGCAAGAGCTGTGGGTGTGCAAATCTGGAGGCAGTAGCTGCAAAAGTGAGGGAGTAATGGGGTATGATATTCTAAAATGACATACCAAACACAGACCTGGGATGAGAGTGAATCACATCCCAGACACCTAGATATATTCACAGAGGATGTTTTAAATGCAATGCAGAAGAGAGCGCACAGAAATCAGGATTTCCGATGAAGATACAAGATATGTGTGGAAAGTGGAAGTTCTGAGAAAACACAACATGCATAAGTTCATGTGCAGAATTATATCAACAGCTATTTGCTGCATCACAATTGGGTACTATTGGGGTGCTCAGATCGGAATTTGCAAGCTTATCGGTGATGAGATGCATATGGGGCACCATATGTCATTATTTCATGACATACAGTATCCTGACACAGCATATGCTCCGATTAGAATGCTAAACATGGAATAGAACGGGGTGAACATAGCTATCCAACGCAGAAAAGACCTTGAAAAACGGTTGAGAATCAGTGGAGATGTGCAAGGTGAGCCAGAAGTGTGGTTGCAGTGAAAAGCGAGGTCAGAGTACATTCAGCATGAACCACACTTCTGGCTCACCTTGCACATCTCCACTGATTCTCAACCGTTTTTCAAGGTCTTTTCTGCGTTGGATAGCTATGTTCACCCCGTTTATTCCATGTCTTAGCATTCTAATCGGAGCATATGCTGTGTCAGGATACTGTATGTCATGAAATAATGACATATGGTGCCCCATATGCATTCATCACCGATAAGCTTGCAAATTCCGATCTGAGCACCCCAATAGTACCCAATTGTGATGCAGCAAATAGTCTGTTGATATAATTTCTGCACATGAACTTATGCATGTTGTGTTTTCTCAGAACTTCCACTTTCCACACATATCTTGTATCTTCATCGGAAATCCTGATTTCTGTGCGCTCTCTTCTGCATTGCATTTAAACATCCTCTGTGAATATATCTAGGTGTCTGGGATGTGATTCACTCTCATCCCAGGTCTGTGTTTGGTATGTCATTTTAGAATATCATACCCCATTACTCCCTCACTTTTGCAGCTACTGCCTCCAGATTTGCACACCCACAGCTCTTGCATGCTACTACCTGATCCAGAAAACAGCTTGGTCAATTTCCATCAACACATGCAGCTGTGAAGGGTGACTTCCTAGGGAGAGGGTGTTTAGTACAGGCAGACTAACCCATCTAATATTACCAATATCAGTGATAAAAACTCGGTATCAAAGGCTGGAGGCGAACAAAGACTCAGTGATGGATTGAGGCAGTCAAAAAGTTGGTAATGAGGACCGGTAACAGGCACCAGCAATCAAAAACTCGGCAATGAAAGCAGTAATACACACAGATGTCCAAAAAGTCGGTAATAGATACAGGCAGTCTGGTAATGAAGGCTGACAATATACACAGGCAATCAAAAAGTTGGAGATACACAGGTGGTCAAAAACTCGGAGATACACAGGTGATCAAAAACTCGGAGATCAACCCCCGGGGGGAGTCAATTACCGGCCCGGAGGTGACCCCCGGGGGGAGTCAATTGCCGATTGCGGAGATCGGCTTGAGCCTTGCACTTTCTATCATGGGTTTCTTGCTCTCTCTTTGCGCATTGTGTGAATAAAAATGGAACTAATGGGCACCCATTCTGTCTGTTTCGGTTGCACAGCTGGTGCAGTTTCCTGTCCTTTCGGAGTGCAGTTCCTGTGTCTCAGTGATATGATAAGCTGAAGAATTGCTCCAGCATGGGTGCACCTATACACACATGCATGCAATAGAGTATGCCAGTTCCCAGATGTGCTAATGGGAGCTGTGGAATGCTGGTGCATTCATATTAAGGGTGGGATATTAATAAGCTCATATGAGGGGTGAGACGCCGATGAGCTCATATGAGGGGGGCGAGCTCATATGAGGGGGGCGAGCTCATATGAGGGGGCGAGCTCATATGAGGGGGGCGCGCTCATATGAGGGGACGAGCTCATATGAGTGGCAAGGCGCTACAAAGTTCATATGAGGGAAAGACACTAATGCACTCATATAAGCAGCCACTTTTATAATATGTATAGGTGGCAGGGTGTGAGGGCACTCATATGTGTGGCTATGTGGTACATATAGACGGTAGTAGCAGGTATAGAGCGCCCACTCATATGAGCTTATCCGAACGCCAGTAGCGGTGTATGTTGTCATTGATATGAACGCCAGTGGCAGGGTATTCTGTCGGCATGCGCTGGCTCCGCTCCGTTCCCGCTCCCTTCGGTCTCGGATTACGCTATCCCAGCTCACTCGGAACTTGCTCCGCTCTACCAACCACCCCCGTATGTTTCTCTTTCATAGTTTACGATCATGTGTCCGCTACCTGGCCTCTGCCTTACGCTTGCTCATCCTCCTCTCTGCGTTCTTTTGGACTATTCTACCTCATTTCCTCGCCGACATGCCCTCCTACCCTCTCGGACTTCGTTGCTACGACACCTGCGCCCTCATGTATATATTCTAGCAGTCTTTGTGCTCTATCTACAGTTTCGACGCCCCCATATCGTGCGTGCTACTCACCCAAGTCCTCCGTCCGTCTGCCACCGCCGTCTCCGCCTTCAGCCCTCCGCCTTCCGCACCTCAGCCTTCAGCCGCTGTCCGTCTCGCCTCAGCCGTCCGCCGTCCTCCGCATCGTCTCCGCACTCATCGCGCTTCTCTCCTCTCCTTCTCGCGCTCGTCCTCCCCTCTCGCACCGGGCCGACTTCCCGTGGTACAAGCTCGACGAGCTCGCACGCGATCCCTTCGCATCCCCCTTTCGCGCGCCTCCCGGCGTTAGCGTCCCATCAGCGGATGACTGCCGCGATTTCGTCGGGTGTGAGAACAGGCATGGTGGACGGAGGAAAGCGGATGTTCAGCGCTTCGGCGCTAGCGCTCAGGCCGTCGAGACGACACGCACGTCATCGGATCCGTCCTGGCTAGGGTTCGCTAACAAATACATTTCATTGTTACATGTGTAACTATCAGCTGTTAGTAACATGTTAGTAACACGTTAGTAACAAGGAGGCTCAAAGGGGTGTCCTACTGATGTTACAATGAAAATGTTACAAACGTCCAAGAGTAACGGGACTGATTTGAGCAGCCAGAACTTGATGTGTTTTCCTTTCACCCCCGATCCGTTATGTGCGGCGCCATGGCTGGGCCGGGCTCAGTGGAAGTGCTGCGGAGCAGGACAGGCTGGATGCAGCGCGGCTGGACGCTGATGATGCTGAGCTATCTGGCTACGAGGGGATCAACCCCGGTCCCCGGCCGCTTACGGTGCACTACTGCCATGGACGAGGAAGGAGAAGCTAGTGTGGGACCTGGGTCGCCCTTGAGGTGCGTCGCTGTTTTGCCAGCGTGGGGGAATTCTAACTCTGGCTCGGTGTAGATTCATAATGCCTTTGAGGAGAATGGGCTATTCGCGTGTTTCCCCCTGGCTCCGGCTCGACACGATCCTGCCCGCCCAAAGATCCGCATACACCTCCACGCCAGCGCGAGCCCCCTTCATCTGAAGATCAGTCTGGTCCATCGCCTTCACACCCTTCCGGGCTCTACCCGCTGAAGCTGACCGCGACCGGCGCGGTCTCGCGCACGCCCACGCACTGCACTCGCGGCCCACCCATTCGCGCTCTTTCTCCCTTTCGCGCGCATTACATCATCCTCCGACAATACCACCACGCTCGCTTCGCTCCTCTCCTCGCCTTCGTTCTTGCTCACATATATCCTCCCCCTCTTGTTCCTCTCTTCTCCTCGCCTTTGCCGGCGCTGATGCGCACGCCGCGCGGCCAGGCGCGCATAGCGCGCATCACCGCCGACCCCAACCGCACCCCCAACAGTCCGCACGACCACCGACCGTTCTGTCCCGACACCCTACCACTAGCCCACCGAGACACCCGCGCGCGGCCGCTGACAAGACCCCGCACAACGCACATCGACGCGCGCGCTGGCCGACATCCCCGCCACCACCCCGCTGCTCGCCGCGCGAGTCCGACAAGACTGTTAGCCCCGCCGACAGCCAAGCCCACCACGTGCCCCGGACGTCTCACATTTCCCCGCACACCCTAGCCCTTCTCCCTGCCTCCATGTGTTTCGTGATTCTTTTCGAACTTTCTGGACATGCCGCCCTGTACACTCTCGGACTTAGTTGCTACGACTAGTGCATTCTCATGTATAAAATCTAGCAGCTGCTACGCTCTATCGACAGCCTCGATGCTCCCCACATATTGCATGCTACTTACTCAACGTCCGACCCTCAATCGACTGCCGCCGCCGCCTCCGCCTTCCGTATATCAGCCACCTGACCACCTCCGTTTCGCCTCAGCCGCCCCGCTGTACTCCTCCGCATCTCTTCCGCTTGCACCTCTCTTTCTCGCGCTGGACCAACTCTTCGCGGTATAAGCTCGATGCGTTCACACGCGATCCCCTTCGCATACCCTTTCGCGCGCCTCCCGGCGTTCGCGTCCCATCAGCGCATTCCTTACGGCGCTCGATAGCACGTGCGCTTTCGCCCCACGGCCTTCGGATTGGACCGGCGCACGGGCTGGCACCTCCTCGACATTCTCTCAGATACACTTTGAGTGTTTGAGAACGACTCTAAGTGTCACCTCGTCATCAGCGGCTCCCCTGGCTCCCACAAAACAGGCTCCAGCCTCATAGCATGAAGATCAAAGCTCGTGACAGCAATTTCCAGACTGTGAGGACATGTGTAGATCGACCGAATACGTGTGCTGAAATTGTTACATGCTACATGTTACTAACAACGTGTTACAAACGGCCCCAGGAGTTTGTTATTAGTTACATATGTTACATGATTTCAAATAATTTGTTACCGAACCCTAGTCCTGGCGCACCTCCACTCCGAGATGCAACCTCTGGCGTCGCCCACGCACGGCTACTTTGCTTCTGAGCGTCTGTGCGCTTGCCATTCAGTCTAGAGTATGATGCCCTCGAGAATCGAAAGGAGAAGTGCGTGTTGGCATAACCTTCCGCGCGCTATTCGAGTATTCCGCACTTTGACTGGGACCATCACCCTCCTAGCTTCCGACGTCCCCTCGGCCTGCCCATGGCTGCCGTCTCTGTTCCCTCCATCCCTCGTCGTTCAAGAAGCGGCCAAAGCCTGCCATCGGGTTCTCCGACCCAAGCTCGCACCAAGTCGTGAGTTCCTGTGCCTCTTCCCCGCTTCATCGAAGGCGACTACTACTACAAGCCCTTATCACTGTCACTGCTCTCCACCTCCTCTAACGCTTATAAGCTCGCTTCTCAGCCGCTCTAGGCTTGTCAGATCACCGAGTAATCGCCGCCCTCATGGGTTCAAGCACAAAGTCCAATGACCTTTCAAGTGCGTTGGACCGTATCCTACGTACGTCCTCCCACGCTTCGCCGCCGAAGCTGATACCTCGTTTCGTTCCTGGGCACGCGGATGCGCCACCTTGCAGCGCCGGTGGGCACGGTGAGATCTCTCGATGAGTAGAGAGGGAGATGGAGTAGAGGTCAATGTACCGGACAGAGGTTTTTGTTATCCGTTTGCGATGTTCACCGTGTTACGGTTAATGTCCGAATTTCCCAAGGTTGGAAATTATAAAGCAAAAGGTAATGAGAAACAGCATGTACGTATCCTGGAGAGGTGCGGGGTTAACTCAGATTGAGGACGTGCTGATGGTCCGGCGAAATGGTGCAATCTGGATCGTGCTGAAAAAGCACCATCTACACTTCAACGCCTCCAAGCATTTCTAGCTTTCTTCAATGCAGAGGTGGAGTGTGCCTCTCAGTCTCAACCAACGCGTACGCCATCTCTTCCTCACGTCCGGCCGACGCAGCAAGAAAGTCTATGCGAGACCCGCCGCAAAATCAAGCGCGAGCGCGCCGAGGAGCAAGCCTTCCGCGCCCAGGTCCTCGAGCTCTTCGCGCTCGTCGCCAAGGACCTCTACACCCTTACTGCCTGTGTCAGGGCCGCGGGTTATTGGTGGTGCCATCTCCCGATTCCGTGCAAGATCGGGGCGATCGAGTTCCCGCTCTTGCGAGAGCTCACCTACATCGCTCTCCCAGTCCCCGACTATCTCAACTTCGCTCCTTTCCCCCGGTGTAATTACGATGGCGAGGACGTCGACGTTTCATTGCGCCCCCCGCTTCCACAGCTACGCAGGTTACGCATCGCGGGTGTCGTGGAACGGACTCTGGATGTGCCCTATGTATTATTTTTCGCCTTTTCCTCACCTTTTCTCTGCCTGTTACTATATTGGAAGGTTGTTCCCGCGCTTAAGCGCCCGTATCGCGGACTCTCTTAGCACTTGCACTTCGTGTCCTAGCCCTCATCTCGACCTCTTGGTCTTTGTGGGCTAGGTGAGTATCTCGATTGCCTGTATGTATGTAGAGCTATGTTAACTTGGTCTTTGTGGGCTAGACATCCCTCGTGTGACTCTAGTTTGCGTCTGCTTTGCGCCTAGTGCCGGCAACGCCTCTGCACCACTACATCGAGGTCACCCAACCTCCATCTCTACCCATCCACCCCTCCCTCTCCTCCGATTGGCGTTCGCGGCCCGCTCCCGCGTCATTAGGTCGAGATCTAACCAGTGAGTGCTGGCATCAAAGCATCGGATCGCCCCCACTCGTGCAAGCATCGTCCCCACCCTGTGCCACTCGCCCCGCCCTTCCCCTACCCTGCATACCTGCCGGAGTTATAAGGCTCTGA